GAGAGAGAGAGAGAGAGAGAGAGAGAGAGAGAGAGAGAGAGAGAGAGAGAGAGAGAGAGAGAGAGAGAAGAATGATGATGTGAGGGCACACACCTGGTCTTGGTGATAGTCTACAAGGGTCGACATCTCCATGTACTTCGGTTCTGTTGCTGACGTCAACAGTTGCATTGTCAATTCGTAGGCTGGTAGTATTGTGTGATCGTAGTCTGGGCGCGGAGCGCCAGATAGGAGGAAGGTCTCTGGACACTTATGCTGGTGATGGCGAGACTATGCTCTCATTGACACTCGGATTCAGTGTTTTGGTTCTCCATTGGTCTAATATCGGTGCGATTCTGCTTTCTGGACAGTTCAGACTTCCTGGCTTTCAATGTGATTTTGCAATCTGGAATCTGTCATTTCGCTATTGCTCATTTTCCTTGCATTCATGGTTAGGTGCTCGCAAATGATCCAATCAATAGCCTTGATAATGCGGGCATGATCAAGACATGTAAACAAAGAAGGAAAAAAAGGAATCCCCACCCAAAATGGTTCCACTGCTTCACAATCACTAATTAATAGTTATTCATATTTTTTAAAGCACCCTTCTTTCTGCAATCAGACTCACTTTCTTTTCCACTCCTCATGCATGTAAACAGGACACCAAACTGGCGACACACGCCCACTCAAAGCTCAGAGATATGGTAATCAAGAACACAGTTCAGATACAAGCGCACTTCAGATGGCTATGGCGCATCAGCGCCTGTACAACTCTTTGTTCGTCACTAGCTCAACTCTGCTGTTGACACACACTCAACTCGGGATCACCCTGGATATCCCACACGCGACACACTGTCTCACACACACTCACACCCTACACTCGTCTACCACCTACGGCGGCTATGGCCGCTCAACCCTGCTGGCTATGGCTACACCACCTCAACTCTGGCCACTTCGTCTTCGGACGCTCTGCAGACCACCTCGCACAAGTCGCTCAAGCAGCGCTTCCGCATGGCTTACGCAGGAATGAATGAATGGCTGGGCGCTGCCTCTTGATTTATACTTTTGTAGCTCGTTGGTCTGCCCCTTTTCCACGCCCCTGTGCACAGTCCCACACGGTACTGGCTTGACTGGACTGTGACTGACTAGGACCGGTACCGCTGACTGCATGGGTTTGCAATGCCAACTCGATGCAGTCGCACCGCCGACGTACCGCAGTTGGGCTCACCACTTGCCCACTGGCCTCTGTGTAAACATGAGCAAACTTCGAAAGGCCACTACTGGGATCTTCCGGAAGGCTGGAGACTTGGCCTTTCGAACACTGTAGCAGCTACGACCTTGACCTTTCAGGACTGTAGCAGCTACGACCTTGACCTTTCAGGACTGTAGCAGCTACGACCTTGACTTCTCAGGACACCTACAGCTACGACCTCTAGGCCTCACTAAGACCTCCATCCAATAGGTCTACAGATCAAACCCCTACCACCTACGGACCTACGACAGCCTACCAACTATTGTGAATACACAGGTCACGGGTTCAACTCTCGGGGTCGACACAGGTACTGTACACGGGCAAGGTAAGAACAAGGGATTGAACCCTGGGATCTGCATTCGCTACTGCTAACAGGTGAATACCGTTTCACTCCCACCAACCTAAATTCGAGGTCCTCCGAGAATAATTCAGTCCAAGATCGGATTTTTACCTTTCTTTTCCCTCTCGTAGGCTCTAACTACGTCGGGAGCGATTTCTAGAAGTTCAGTCCTAGTAAACCAGCGATCGTCCTCGGGTTCCAGATACGCAAATCGAACTTTATACTGTTTCTGTGGACGATCTCTACCTCCTGTTCTGCATACGTCCTCACCTACAATGCCCTCAATGTCATACCTTCCATCCATGACTGGAGGGATCACGTATCTTCTTGATGGAAATTGCTGGCTTGTGACACACGGCAGCAACTTTGACGCATGAAACACAGGGTAGGTGTGGAGGTGCGCTGGGATTTCTATCGTGTAGGACGGCCCATCCTCTCCGCCCTTAACTTCTAGAACCGGCCACGGTCCTCTGTATGCGGGCAGTAACTTCTGCGAAATGTTCTCCTCAGGAGCAAATTCTTTGGACTTGACCCAGACAAGGTCGCCTACTTGGAACTGTGATGGCCGATGGTGCTTATTAGCCTGTTCTATCATTTTGTGTTGGGCCTTCCTGAGGTTCTCAACGACGGTAGCTAACTCCTCGTGCTGCATCGCAAACTCCCTAGTACCGGACGGTAGCCTATGAATCTGATCCCGGTTAAGTCCTTCAAACGGTCTGCGCGGCCTAAAGGACTTGTGCAACTCATTGGGAGTGCGACAGGTGGCTAAGTGCACGCTATTGTTATACACACTGGCTACCTTGGGCAACATCTCATCCCAGTTGATCTGATCCGGTCTGATATACATGCACATAACTTGTTGCAGGATTTTATTCATTTGCTCAGTCTGACCATTAGTCTCTGGATGACGGCCAGATGACATTAGCAACTTTGACCCATAGACTTTCATCAATTCCTGCCAGTTCTGACTACTCAACCGGGTGTCTCTATCGCTAACTATAGACAATGGAATCCCGTGATCACTCACCCAATGGTCAAAGAACTTCTGGATTACTAAGTCAATACGTGCCTCTGCAGGCAAGGGAACAAAAACTGCGTATTTACTAAACCTATCCACTATAACCATGGCTTGGCT